CACACTCTGCTGATGTTTCTATTCTTCCTGATCCTAGACCATACCAATGTTTATTGGGGAAATTTCTCTACTTGACTATCACTCGTCCTGACATTTCTTTTGTTGTGCAATGCTCGAGTAAATTCATGCATGCACCCAAGTCCTCCCATACTGAGGCTTCTATGAGGGTCATGAAATATATCAAGTCTTGTCCTTTGATGGGTGTGTTGCTGAGTGCTGATTGCTCTACCTCTCTTTCAGCCTTTTGTGATGCAGATTGGGCTGCTTGTCCCAACACACGCAAATCAGTCACTGGATATTTTGCCAAATTTTGCAGCTCTTTGATTTCTTGGAAGTCCAAGAAGCAGTCCACCATCTCACGTAGCTTAGCTGAGGCTGAGTATAGGAGTTTGGCATCTACTGTAGCGGAGGTGATTTGGATTCTAGGTCTGTTCAAGGAGTTGGGCATCCTTCATTCTTCTCCGGTTCCTATATACTGTGATAGTAAGTCTGCTATTCAAATAGCAACAAACCCAGTCTTTCATAAACACACGAAACACATTGATATTGATTTCCATTTCAATCGAGAAAAGGTTCAATAAAGGCTAGTTAGTATTGTCTATATTCCTATTGCTGAACAGGAAGCTGACATGCTGACCAAGGGCCTTGGGCGATCTCAACATGATTATTTTGTTTCCAAGCTAGGACTGACCTAGCTTGAGCGGGGGGGGGGGGGGGGNCCCACGCATGCAATGCCTTAACACATGTGCTCTTAACTTAACTATAGTTAGATTATTATAATTATAGTTAGTTCAATTAGTTAATACTTGTACAGTTGTACATGAGTTGGTAGTAGTTTGTTGGAACTGGTTATATGTACTGTACATCATTCATTTCAGAGATATTGAAGAAGAAAATTTCCTCCTCTGCGCTTCTTCTCTCAAATTGCTTTCTCTTCTATCTCTGTTCTAGATCATAGCATCAATTATAATGTACGAATTTAACACTTTCTGCTTTTATTATACACTGTATACGAGTTATATTGTAATTGCCTTGCCAGTAGCCTCGTCACTACGTCATCGAGGTTAGGATCGACACTTACCAGTACATGGGGTCGGTTGTACTGATACTACACTCTGCACTTTTTGTGTAGAGTTTGGAGCAGTTAGTGGCTGATCGAGATGTCAGGTGCAGATATTTTTAGCTAGGAGATCGAAGGTAGTCCCGATGGCGTCCGCAGACCCTAACGTCCCCTTCTATGCTCCTACATTTATTGTTTTTTTACTTATCTTCATAAACAGTTGTATCTACTTTCGAACAAATGTCTGTAGCAAATCTCAGTGTGTTCGTGGATTGTGACACCGAATTCTGGGTAGTAATAGCAATAGTATTGGTAATAGTATATAGACAAAGAGGCTATTTACTTGCTTCCGCATTTATTTCTACTTGTTTAGCTTGTTTTTTTTATCACTGAATCATAAAGAAAATTGGTTAATAAAACTCTAGCATTGGCTTTCCTAGTAAGTGTGATGTTAGGCACCATCACGGTCTCGATGGTAGGAATTCCGGGTCGTGACATCCGCCTCTGCCCTTCAATGTGGGATTTCTCGACAAAAATCGGAATTTATTCAAACCCTAATGCGAATATCGAACATTGAGTAAGAAACTAAAAAACAAACGAAATCCCAATAGATTTTTGTCTCTATTTAATAGAAATATAATATCATGTTGTAGCTTAATTTATTTTATGTTGTAGGACCTTAGCTGCTTTTTGGAGCTATAGTATTATTGTACTAGAATAATCCTTATACATACATGATAGTGAAACCTTTATTTAATATCACGTGAATATCTCAACTGAACGAATCTTTTTCTTTACTATTGATCGGTAAAAATCTTGTTGACAAAACTAAAATGCATGCATATGAGTATATGATAAATGTACTTTATGTTAATAAGGCAACATTCCTAATTAACAAGTAGGTCCATGACATTAATTCATGTAAAGTTGAAGGATTTTGTCTTCATCTGATGGAAAAAGCAAGCTGTAAATATTGTTCGTCATGTAGTTGTATCATTTTGGGAAGGTTACAACTGGATTTGAAAAAAAACGACTATTGAATTTTTTTTTTCGAATTTAATGTTTCGTAAATTTCAATTTTCACTTGAAAATTAATCTTGAAAAAATTTAAAAACTCAAAAAAGTTGTTTTTCTCTTCAGATCACTCACAAAAATTTAAAAAGATCCCAAAATTATATTTATGTCCAAATACAACTCTAACTTTTAATACCATTTTCACTTTTTTTCCCCGAAATGTTACATTTCAGGAAATTTAATGAGAGCATTTAAATTTTAAACATCCTTTGTCACTAGGTTATGCAAGAGTATTCAAAATCTATTTTTTAATCAATCCCAGTAATATTTTATCCTATATATAGTATAAATTTTCGGTAAAGGATGTTCAGTTGACCACCTTTGGCCACATGTAGTGTGACGACCCAAAGGGTCATCACCGAATTTCTCCTTTTTTCGTACTTTTGAGGCCTTGAAAACCTTACTTTTAGTTGTCTCGATTTGCGTGCGCAGTCCGGGCACGTAGCCGGAAAGCTTAAATGTGAATTCTATGAAACATTTGATGAATTGTGATATTAATGCGATTAAAGTTGACTTTGGTCAATATTTTTGATAAACGGATCCGGACCCTTGATTTGACGGTCCCGGGGGGTCCATAGAAAAATATGGGACTCGGGCGTATTCCCGGAATAGAAATCCGAGGTCCCGAGCACGAGAAATGAATTTTTGAAAGAAATTATTTTCTGTAATTTAATATGAAAATTTGAAATAAAAATGAGTTATAAAGTATTGGTATAAGGCCCATATTTTGGTTCCGGTGCCCGGTACATGTCTTAAATATGGTTTAAGCGCATTCTGTGAAGTTTGGTCGAAATCGGACGTCGATTGACGTATTTCGGACCTAAATATCTAAAGTTGAGAGTTTATGAAACTAGAATGGAAAATGATGATTTTGAGATTTGATTCATTGATTTTGATATTGTTTTGGCGATTTGATCGCTTGAGTAAGTTTGTAGGATGTTATTGAGTTAGTGTGTGTGTTTGGTTAGGAGCCCCGAGGGCTCGGGAGTGTTTCGGAGGTGGTTCGGGGTGTTTTTGTCCTTAGAGAATGTTGCAGATTTGCTGTTGTCAGTGCCCAGGTATTTCCTTCTGTGCGATCGCATAGGATAGGCCGCAATCGCATAGAGCAAATTGCTGAGTTCAGAAGTCCTTCTATGTGATCACATTCTTCCCTCCGCAATAGCACAGTGCAAAGTTCAGCCCTCTCTCTTTCCTTCTATGCGTTCGCAACTGACATTCTGCGATAGTAGAGCATATCTGACCCAACCCTATGTGATCACATTCCCTCTTCTGCGATTGCATAGGGCATGTTTGCCCAGTTATTTTAAAAGCTTAAAAACAGAACAGTGACCGGAATTCCTCACTATTTTTCACACGAGCTTTTCTCTTTCACCCTCCATAGATGATTTTGAAGAACACTTTCCTCCATAACTTCATAGGTAAGTGTCCCTAACCTCGTTTCCTCTTCATTTCATCAACTAATCACTAATTTTCTAGCCCTAAATCATGAAATCAAAGTAGAAATTAGGGGTTTTGGATAGAATTAGAATTTTGGGAATTTTGGGTGATTCAACCTCAATTTGGGGTTGAATATTGAAATAAATTATATAATTGAACTCGTGGGACTATAGGTGAACGGTTTTGGTCCGAGCCTCGAGTTTGGATCATGTGGGCCCAGAGTCGAATTTTGGTATTTTTGGAAGAATGCTAGGAACTTCATTTCTAGGCTATGGGATTATGTTTTTGAGTCTTTATTGATATTATTGAATTAATTATGCCTAGATATCGTTGTTTCAGAGTTGGATTGTAGATGAAAGACGGTATTTGAGGATTGATTGCTATTCTTTGGACCGAGTTAAGTGTTTGTTCTAACTTTGACTTGAGTGAATAGGATTAGGGTGTTGTTTGCTATTTGCTAATTGTTGGGTACGGCGTATAGGCATGGTGACAAGTATATACACCAGAGTCTAGCATGACCGTGAGTTAGAATTGTGTTTATTCGGGTCTTGTGCTACCTCTTCCTTGTTTAGTAAATGAGTTTTATATAATATGAAAGGTTTGAGGAAGAATTTATGATTTGTATATTTTTTTAACGATGGCTCGAACGAGAATATGATAATTGAGAAAGAAGTGATTAAAAGAGAAAGTGTGGTATTTATTTTGCAAAGGAGGTTTCCACGTAGGCAGTGCCTTAGCACATGTGCTCTTAACTTAACTATAGTTAGATTAGTATAATTGTAATTAGTTTAATTACTTAATACTTGTACAGTTGTACATGAGTTGGCAGTAGTTAGTTGGAAGTGGTTATATGTACTGTACATCATTCATTTCAGAGATATTGAAGAAAAAAATTTCCTCCTCTGCTCTTCTTCTCTCAAATTGATTTCTCTTCTATCTCTGTTCTAGATAATAGGATCAATTCGATTGTAAGAATTTAACATGGTATCAGAGTAGTTAATCGAGTAATTCCAAGGAATTTTCGAACAATTAAGGAAAGTTCAAAGGAATTCACTTATTTCTGCATTCGTTGGAACCCTAAATTTTCTGCAAATTGCAATTTTTTAGCTCTTGATTTGACCTAATCCATGGCGGTTTCTGAAGAATCGAGTCATACTACTAATGACGGAGTCAATTCATCTGGAGGATCAACGATTCTAGATCATAATCATCCGCTATATCTGCATCCTTCTGATTGACCTGGATCCTTGTCGATAGGGCTTATACATATGGGAATGGAGAATTACAGTCTCTAGAGTTGAGCTATTAAGGTAGCTTTGTTAGGAAAAAATAAGTTGTGCCTTATCGATGGATCGACATCAAAAGAGGATTTTGGATCTGGGTAGCACACCAGTAGGATCGGTATAATGCGATTGTGACTTCGTGGTAGATGAGAAATGTTCTTAAGGATTTAGTAACTGGAGTACTGTTTTCGTCTAATGCTTGTACATTGTCGACTGCATTCAAGGAGCGATTTGATAAAGTAAATGGATCGAGATTGTACTTTCTACACAAGGAGATTTTTACTATGACTCAAGGAATTTGTTCCGTTTCTACCTATTTTACAAAACTTAGGGATCTATTGGTAGAGTATGACTCCATTTTGCTACCACCTCCAGCAGTTGAATATTTTGAGCAGCTGGAGTACCAACGTTTGTTGCAGTTTCTCATGGGATTAAGTGATAGCTTTGAACAAGCTAGAAGTCAGATCCCCTTAATGTCTACCCTGCCGCCTATCAACAATGCATATGCCATGGTAGTTCAAGACGAAAGTAGGAGGATGATTACTGGTGCCAATTATGGAAATGCAGGGAACATTGAGCCTACAGCTCTATTCAGTGCACAATCAGGAATCAAGCAAAGGAGAAATTATAGTTTGGAGTTTGATTTTGTCACTTAAAAGGACATACTCGAAAAGATTGTTATAAACTAATGAAGTGTGATTTTTGCAATAAAACAGGACACTTGAAGGACAAATGCTATAAAATTGTGGGTTATACTCTAGATTTCAAGCCAAAGGAAAAGGCAAATGCTACACTTTTTAGTGAACAACCTCAAACCACACAGGTGGCTAGTCAACAAACGAGCAATGGAACAGTACCATCTCAGTTCTTCACACAAGACCACTAATACCAGTTGTTACAATTGCTGAGCCAAAATTCTATTGGGGATGTCAGTGCTCACATGGCAGGTAAATGCTTTTGTGGCAATGTAGAGTTATGTGAAAATATGATACTTTGTAAGCGGATTGTGGATACAGGAGCTACGAATCATATGACTGGTTCTAAAGCATTGTTACATAATAAACAATTAGTAGGAAACACATGACAAGTTCAGTTGCTTACTGGAGATTCAGCCACAATCTCACACATGGGAGAATGTCAACTTACAGAAGTTGACACTCTTAAGGATGTTCTTTCTGTTCCAGCATTCAAGTTCAATCTCTTGTTAGTATCCAAAATGACAAAGGACTTGAAATGCTGTGTCACATTCTTTCCACAATGTTTTTTATTTCAGGACCTCTTGCCTGGGAAGGCAAAGGGGTGGTAAGGAGGAGGACGGACTATATGTTCTTTCTACATCAACATCAGTTGGAGGAAAATTGATTCGAGAATTTGCAGCAACTAGTGGAATAGGTGGTGCAGACTTATGGCATAAGAGAACAAGACATGTTCCAATGCAAGTCCGTAGAAAGGTTCCTAGTCTAATGAATAATACCAATTTCTCTTGCATCAATCATTTGAATAAGTGTGAGATATGTCCACTACCAAGGCAGACTAGAATGCCATTTTCACTTAGTAAGAGTAGAAGTTTATCTAGTTTTGACTTGATACACATGGATGTTTGGGGTCCTTATAAGGTGCTTACCCATAATGGCATGAGATTTTTCTTTAATTTGGTGGATGATTGCACTAGATGGACTTGGATATTTCTTATGCGACTTAAGTCTGATGTAGTGTTTTTATTCAAAAATTTAATTGCTTTGGTTAAGACACAGTATGGTAAGTCTATTAAGATGTTTCGATCAGATTATGGAGGATAACTTTTTAATTATTCTTGCAAGGATTTATTTAAGTTGCATGGTATTGTACACTAGAGTTCTTGTCCATACACTCCCCAACAAAATGGGGTAGTTGAATGAAGACATAGGCATATACTTGAGACTGCCAGAGCTATTTGATTTCAGGGGCATCTACCTGTTAAATACTGGGGCCATTACATTGACACAACAATTTATATCATCAATAGGATACATTCCTCTATACTTGTAGGTACATCTCCTTATGAAAAACTACATGGGAAACCACCCTCTATTTCTCATTTGAGGGTGGTAGGATGCCTATGTTTTGAAAAAAACTTGATCAAGCATGACCAGTTTAAGCCAAGGGCAGTGAGATCTGTCCGGTTGGGGTATGCAACACATCAGAAGGGTTACATGCTATTGGATCTAGTACACAAAGTATTCTTTATTAGTAGGGATGTAATGTTTTATGAAGATGTGTTTCCATTTCAATCTATAGACAATGCTTCACCAGATTTCTTTCTTGACTCAACTCCTATTCCTAAATATGATGTTATTGCAGATTTATCTCCCATACCTGTTCATGTGCCACACAATGAATCTTCCACACAGTCACCTCCATGTTCTCCACCTATACCTGAGATTTCCTGCTCCACAGATGCAATACCTACCTCAACTCCCAATAATGATCTCACAGTTGCTAGTTCTACTACTGATGTTACAATGCCTAATTGTAATCCACCCACTGTTGGGCAGGATGTTAGAAGATCCGGGAGAGTATCCAAACCTCCTATTTGGCTACAAGATTATGTTCAGCCTACTAAAGGAAAGTCTGCATGATGTTGAAAATATCCACTCTCTGAGGTACTCAATTATGATCATATTACACCCAAGTATCAAAGTTACTTCTCCTAATTTTCTGTTGAAGTGGAACCAGTGACCTACCAAGAAGCAGTTAAAGATAATAGGTGGGTAGAAGCCATGAAGTCTATGATCAAGGCTTTGGAAGATAACCACACATGGACTCTTGTCCATTACCAAAGGGTAAGAAGGCCACTGGATGCAAATGGGTGTACAAGATTAAATACAAGACTACTGGGGAAATTAAAAGATTTAAAGCCAGACTTGTGGCAAAGGAGTATAATCAAAGAGAGAGGTTAGATTACCAGGAGACCTTTTCACCAGTGGTTAAAATGGTGATTGTCAGAAGTATTCTTTCCATAGCAGCTTCCAGGCATTAGACCATCCACCAAATGGATGTGTATAATGCATTTTTGCAAGATGATCTTTTTGAAGAGGTGTATCTTACTGTCCCACAAGGTTTCAATGATTCCAATGATAAGTCCTTAGTCTGAAAATTGCTCAAGTCCCTTTATGGACTCAAGAAAGCTTCCAAACAATGGAATATGAAGTTGACAACAGCATTGCAGAATTCTGGTTTCACACAGAGTCACCTAGATTATTCCTTGTTCCTCAAACAAGTGGGAGACAAGTTAGTGGTGGTTCTAGTGTATGTTGATGACTTGTTATCACAGGAAATGATATATTGCTTATACAACAAACAAAGGATGATCTACAATCTAGTTTTAAGATCAAATACCTTGGTGAGCTCAAGTTTTTCTTGGGGATTGAATTTTCTAGGAGTGACAAGGGAATTCTGATGCATCAAAGCAATTATGCCCTGGAGTTGATCTCTGATTTGGCATTAGCTGGGTCAAAGCCAGTCCACTCTCATATGGATCTTAATCACAGACTGACTACCATTGAGTTTGATGCTCACACACACTCTGCTGATGATTCTATTCTTCCTGATCCTGGATCATACCAACGTTTATTGGGGAAATTGCTCTACTTGACTGTCACTCGTCCTAACATTTATTTTGTTGTGCAATGATTGAGTCACTTCATGCATGCACCCAAGTCCTCCCATATGGAGGCTGCTATGAGGGTCAAGAAATATATCAAGTCTTGTCCTGGGATGGGTGTGTTTCTCTGTGCTGATTGCTCCACCTCTCTTTCAACATTTTGTGATGCAGATTGGGTTGCTTGTCCCAGCACACGCAAATCAGTCACTGGATATTTTGTCAAATCTGGCAGCTCTTTGATTTCTTGGAAGTCCAAGAAGCAGTCCACCATCTCACGTAGCTCAGTTGAGGCTGGGTATAGGAGTTTGGCATCTATTGTAGCGGAGGTGATTTGGATTCTATGTCTATTCAAGGAGTTAGACATCCTTCATTCTTCTCCAGTTCCTATATACTGTGATAATAAGTCTGCTATTCAAATAGCAGCAAACCCAGTCTTTCATGAACGCATGAAACACATTGATATTGATTGCCATTCCATTCGAGAAAAGGTTTAACAAGGGCTAGTTAGTATTGTCTATATTCCTACTGCTGAACAAGAAGCTGACTTGCTGACCAAGGGCCTTGGGCGATCTCAACATGATTATTTGGTTTCCGGGATAGAACTGATGAATATCTTCAGTGGACCTATTGAGGGGGTAGGGGGTATAAAGGAGGTGTCCACGCGCCTTGGCACATGTGCTCTTAACTTAGCTATAGTTAGATTATTGTAATTCTAGTTAGTTTAATTAGTTAATACTTGTACAGTTGTACATGAGTTGACAGTAGTTAGTTGGAAGTGGTTATATGTACTGTACATCGTTCATTTCAGAGATATTGAAGAAGAGAATTTCCTCCTCTGCTCTTCTTCTCTCAAATTGCTTTCTCTTCTATCTCTGTTCCAGATCATAGCATCAATTTAATACTTTCTGCTTTTATTATACACTATATGTAGGTTATATTGTAACTGCCCCGCCAGTAGTCTCGTCACTACCTCATTGAGGTTAGGCTCGGCACTTACTAGTATACACTATACTGCACTCTGCACTTTCTATGCAGATTTTGGTGCAAGTAGTGGCTGATCGAGATGTCGAATGCAAATATTTTCAGCTAGGAGACCCAAGGTAGTCCTGCTGGCGTCTGCAGGCCCAGGCGTCCCATTCTATGCTCCTACATTTATTGTTTTTTTTTACTTCCATTCATAAACAGTTGTATGTACTTTCGAACAAATGTTTGTAGCAAATTTCAGTGTGTTCGTGGATTGTGACACCGGATTCTGGGTAGTAATAGCAATAGTATTGGTAATAGTATATAGACAAATGGGCTATTTACTTGCTTCCGCATTTATTTCTACTTGTCTGGCTTGTTTTTTGTTATCACTGAATTGTAAAGGAAATTGGTTAATAAAACTCTAATGTTGGCTTGCGTAGTAAGTGTGATGTTAGGTACCATCACGGTTTCGATGGAAGAAATTCCAGGTCGTGACATCCGCCTCTGCCCTTCAATATGTGATTTCTCGACAAGAATCGGAATTTATTCAGACCTTAATGCGAATATCGAATATTGAGCAAGAAACTAAAAACAAATGAAATCCCAATAGATTTTTGTCTCTATTTAATAGAAATATAATAGCATGTTTTAGCTTAGCTTATTTTATGTTGTAGGACATTAGCTTCTTTTTGGAGCTATAGTATTATTGTACTAGAATAATCCTTATATATACATGATAGTGAAACCTTTGTTTAATATCACGTGAATATCTCAAATGAATGAATCTTTTTCTTTACTTTTGATCGGTAAAAATCTTATTGACAAATCTAAAATGCATTTATATGAATATATGATAAATGTACTTTATATTAATTAGGCAACATTCCTAATTATTAAGTTAGGTTTATGACATTAATTCATGTAAAAGTGGAAGGATTTTGTCTCCATCTGATGGAAAAAGCACGCTGTAAATATTGCCTGTCAAGTCATATAGTAGTTGTATCATTTTGGGAAGGTTACAACTGGATTTGAAAAGAAACGACTATT